CCTCTGCACCACGTCCTAGCCTGCCCACCTTGTTTCTTTCAGCCTGGGCCGATGTCTGCGGATAGAACGCGGTGTGGCAGACGGTGCTCAGGCATTCGTAGGACGTGCCCTAGCCACCTAAGACGATGCTGTGAATTTATTTTGCTTAAAGGAAGACTATCTGGTCCTAGCACTTCATCGTTATTCATGCGATGCTCCCACCATACGCGGGCGACGTTGCGCAGACAACGGCTGTCGAAGACTGATAGTCGCTGGACGTGAGCTGCTCAGAGAGGCCAGGTCTCACAGCCATAGAGCAAGTGATAGTAAACTCTTGAGAAAACACGAAATAGCGAACAAGCTAGTTTTCGATAACTTTCTCATCTGTTCAATACAGTTACAAAAGTGAGCTAATCACCCGGCGCTTGGAAACAGCTATCACGCGCACATTTCCGGCGGCATGTTTACGCCTCCAGTTCACCAATCAGCCGATTATTTCCTTGAACCTCAAAGATAAATTACCTATTTCTACCTTCTCTATGATTAACTACTCATTCGCTTGTTCATGTTTAGCAAGCTACGTAGGCAGAACCATCAGGCAGTTTTCCCAAAGGATAAAGGAACTTAAACCAGCCTGATTGACTACTGGGGTCAGGAAAACCATCTCGAGTGCGATTGTGGAACACCTCGCAAATACTGGGCATACTGTGAAGGAAGATGTCTTCAAGGTGATCGACCGGGTTCCTTCTTTTCCGTCTAAGGCCGTTCGTCAACAAAATTTAGCAACAGCTGAGGCAGTGGCTATCCGTTTGTTTAACCCATCACTTTGTTTCCAAAAGCGATTTGTCAAAGCACTTCAACTATCATGGCCACGCAGTGAACTCAATCTCATGATTAGATCAGACCAGTTTCATGACCCGCTAAAACTTTCGATTGACCCTCTGCCCCAAACAGGTGATGGTTAACCTTGACTCTGTCCTAACCCTCATGTGACATATCCCTATTCCCATCCACCCGCCATCGCACTTTTTTATTATAAACCATAAACAATCGACTAAGTATATCCACCAATCCAATCCACACACACACGTCAAGCGTTATGCAAATGTGATAAACCTTTTACCTATTCATATAACTGTATTAGCCAGATGAGGAAGTTATCGAAAACGAGCTTGTTCGCTATTTCGTGTTTTCTCAAATGTTACAAAGGGAATCTTCAATAGTAAACTTTTCCTTTGTTTATTGATTATAAACTTTACTGCACTGGTGAGCTCCGAGATCCTGTGGTGCAGCGACAACAGGATGAAACGATTCATTTTCAACGGAACACGTAGTGGGAAGGTTGGAGGAGCAGCCCCCGTTACAGTGTCCTACTTCAAGGTTGTTTTGCAGTTAGTGTTACTAACTGACTTCATCGATGGAAGCTCGGGAGGGCACAACTGTATGCTACCGAACGCGTCCGCAGGTCACGGATAGGGGAACGACCGTCATCTCGCAACGAACCGTGAATAAGATGGGTTTAGTTCCCTCGGACAAGCGGTCTCGGAAGATCAGCCGCAGCGCTCGAGAACGTGGTGGGTTTACCTCCTGACAGCGGTCCTCCGCACACAACACCACAAATATCGATAAACAGCGCTGCCGCGTGGTGAGTGTGGCTCACCACTAAAAATAGTCATTGCCCATCCAGTATCCGACAATGTTTTCCAAAAGAGGCGAATGAACCACATACTGGCCACCGACTCATCTGGAATAACGCTGCTGCTATGCAGTCCTAGCCATCGGTATGCGATGTATCCAAGAAACTGGCATTCAAGACTCCAGCTGCAACATTCGAATGACGTCCCCATCCAACCAAACTGCGAAGTTTCATCTACGCCTCTCCGAAGTCCCTGGGGCTAAGGCTTTAGGTCTTGTTGGCGTTGCCGTAGCTCGCAGTGAGAGAGCTGAAGCCGCGCTTCTATACTGGATTCCAGTGGACAGTAATTTGTGAGCACCGAGAGTCAGAGGTACGTGCAAAGAAGGTGGATTTCACCCCGATAGACGAAACTTGTTTATCGTGTTGGTGTAGGCCCCAACGGACTGCAGCTCAGATGCAGTAAAATATTAACTTTACCATAACCTACACTACCTCCTGCGTAAAGTGAACCGGGCTGATGTCGTGATTCTAGCAGAAGATATGAATGCTAGAGTAGGCCGGCTGACTCTCCACGTTATTAGCCCAACTGAGGCGGCTTAACGACAATGTCCCTGACAGAGGAATCTCTATTCAGGGTTATAAATTAGTAAGACCGGACTCAGCCCGGGGTAGAGTAGGTAGTATAATAACTTATTTTAATTGCACTCTCATTTCCTTATCCCACTGAACCCAATACACCCATTAGATACTTTATGGGTCAAACTTTAACTCTCAAGGTGAGTCATTCTCCTGATTGGGATCATGTACGGACCTCATAGCTGCTTCATCGAAAACCAACGACTCATATACCAATTAAGGCCATCTATCTTGGTCTTCCTTTCAACCCCAGATAATTCCAGATGCCTCCTATTGAAGAGGCCCATCGAATATCACTCAGCTTTTTACCAGCAAGAACAGAAAATCAGGAGCTTTTAAAGCCAAACTTCCCTTTTCACTTAGCCGCGTTCAATGTCCGCACACTATATCAGATTGGTCAACAAGCTACCTTAGATAGAACCCTTAAAACTTTTAACTTAGATGTATGCTGTCTCTCCGAAACACCCTCACAAGACCTTACTTCAACCATCTCCCTGCGCTCTCCTGATCCAACCTCAACGTCACGCCTCACCCTCCGTGTGTCCGGCGAATCGGCATCCGAAGCTCGTGATGCTGCGGGTGTTGGGATTGCGCTAAGTGCCAAGGCAGAGTGCTCGCTTCTTGACTGGATTTCAGTCAGTAGTCGACTGCGCGCTGTCTCAACGGTTTAGAACGAGTCGACAGCTACAGAACGAAGCATCGAACCTTATTCATCGTATCCGTGTATGCATCAACCGATTACAGTTCGCCAGAAATGAAAGAAATGAATTCTACAGACCTTTCTCAATTACTACAGTGCTCGATCAACGGACATCGTAGTAGTCTTCGGGGGCTTCAATGCCCAAGTGGGTTCCTCAGACGAATCAGAGAGGCTTCTTGGCGGACAACATGCAATCCCAGCCAACCGGACGGACAACAGAGATCGCCTACTTCAACTCTGTGCCGACCACGGACTGTTCCTGTCAAGCACGAACTTCTCGCACGAGGAACGACACCGCCTTACATGGAAACCGCCAAACTCTTCACAGCGCTGGACCCAAATCGACCACATCGCCGTCAGTTACCGCTGGAGAGGGTCGATTCAAGAATGCCGCTCTTACTGATTAACACATCATCATCATTCGTCATTGTATAGCGTAATACAGTGAAGCG